CTATTCCTTATTAGGAGTTATTGTCTGTAACATGCAAGCACCACCCGACATGGCCTTAGCTCCATTTATCCCTGGATGGACATCATTCACCCACTATAGTTAAGAGCCAAGTCAGCAAAAGTCCAAGGAATAAGGAGTTAGTGTGACACCCTGTCCAGGAAGGATTTTTTGACGGATTTGGAATGGCATAACAACCAGTAACTGATCCCTGAAAACCAGAATGTGTCAAAGTTGTCCGTTCAAGAGTTATGGCCTATTCACTAAAATTGCCATGGTTACCATAGCAACGTACATGTAAATTGCCTCTTTATAGCTGAAGAGACATGCAATATGGATCAAATAGATAATGAATGGCTGTCAAAGTCATAAATGAAGATAGAAGTTCCCAAAACTGCCTTCAAAACATTATAAATGTCATCAAAAGTGAATTATTTAATACTAGTGTGATTTGATTTGGTATCATTATTACATTGTATGTAGAGGTAGTATCGCAGTTACTTATCAGTGAGAAATTGCTATGTGGTGACCAGGAGCAGAGCTTGACACTGGCAGACAGAAGTACAAAATTAATAAGAACTGTTCAGTATTCTTCACAAACAAGGAATGAATCTGCTCTAGGTGCGGAAGGGTGAGTCGTCAGGCAAAGCTGTTTCAAGTTTTTTTTTTCAACTAGCAATAACCACGCCTCGGTTGGACCTCATTGGCTATGGCACTACCACTGCGCTGTTGCAGCTCTTCGCTAGTCCTTTTCTCAATCCTCCAGCGACTATGTCTGTCAAGCTGCAGCAAAAGCGCTGGACCTGAAAGCTGTGATGGCCACCGGATGGAAAGGTTGTAGCACACCATCAATGGGCAGCGGGATCTGGGATACCAGGCTGAGCAGCAGCACATGCCTCATGAAAGAGCTGCCTGAAAGGTGGCTTTGGCTCTACTGATATACATGTAGTTATGGGAGTCTTGAAAGGGGGAAGACTCATGGATAGCCCACTGGAGTCATGCAGAGGAGCTGTAATCGTGCCTCATTGACAGATCTAGTCACTGGAGGACAGAGAAAAGGACTAGCGAAAAGCCGCAACAGCCTTGCCTGACTACTCACCCGAGACCAGTTAATAACATGACAATGCGGTCTAACTACAATTCGAAGTGCTCATTTTTTCGCTCTTTCTTCGCTTTGGCGTCGTTCGCCCTGTGTGTTGACGCTGTTGGTGTGCCTACTGGAGATGTGTTAGAGCTAGGTCTCAGGTCGTTAATCTAATGGCTCAGTGGCCTGTCAGTTTTGTACCCTGTTATCGCACGTTCTGACTGCTTATCATCTTGTTACAGTCGTGGATAGTTGCTTCATAACTCGTTTCTATGTGATTCCTTGTATTTTGATTGTGCACCTCTGCTGCTTTTAGGCACAGGCCACAGGAGCTGCAAGCACAATTGATTCATCTGTTGGTAGAGGATATCATGTCTTACCTGCTATGCCAACACCAGCACAGATTGCTAACATCAACAAACGCAGAACGGTACGATTGGATGAGTCCATTGTGTTTTCAGACTTAGGGGTAGCAATTTTAGACAAGTTTGAATACCAGATGCCTCGAAGCACTTTGGAATAAGTCTGGATTGTATGTATACCTTTCACGGGTATAATAAGTGGTGTGGACGGGTAGTCGGAAACCCGTTCTACCGTATACACGGGTACAGGATAGTACCCGATAACGCAAAGTCGCAGATGACATCATGTACAGTGCACGTGTACAAATTCATGTAATCATGGCAATACTCCGCTTGTCTACCCAGTGAGTGCGTTTGATTATGCCCGCGAATCGATTCTTGAATGGAATCTCGCCGTTCGATTTCATGTCATGAGTCCTGGAATCGATTCGGAATCCATTCATCCTATCCACATGGGGTGATGTGAATAGCCAGGGGCGATTCATGAATCGATTCATGTATCGGTTCGCGGGCGTAATCTAACGCACTCAGTGTGCAAGGGAAGGAGTGCATTGTGGTTTTGCTATGGAAACATTACCCGATCGGGTACCTGTGCTACCCGTGGAAAACTATCCGAACCTGATACCCGAAGAAAATGCTACCCGACTCAGCCATAGGTATAACCCTAAAATATATCCCCAAAAACCATGGAACTTGCGATGGATTTTGTATCTAATTATGGCAAACAATGGAAAGTTCTAGGACTATGGGTGAGAAACAGAGGGAACGAGTGCTAGGTTCAACTCCTGCTTGGAAGCAGAAGGATTTTTCTGAGACCCATGAATAATTGGAAACTCCTGGCCTTGCCCGAGAGAAGCATGGATGCAGCGAATGGGATTCTCCATCTTTGACCACTATAATGGTGAGTCTGATGTGCTCCCCTTCAGAGGATGCATCTGCACCGTGATCCTTGACGGTTGTGTAGTTCCTACCGATGCGGGAAACTCGGCCTCTAGCCTAGCCTCACACAAACCGCGAATTCAGTTTTTGATTTCGAATTTGTGGCCGAAATGCGATATTTAATATCAGTATGCCGTCATTTTGCGGTGTGTATGTGGTGAAAACAATCGGTCCACAAGCTCTCACTAGACATCTTCGTCTTGTGCTAACAACTAACAGATTACTTTCAATAGCATCGAGTTCAGCAAACTTCCGGGTACAGCCAGAGGCAGTATAGCGGAGTTTGCCCGCGTCAATAACTTGAATTTATGTTCTGGTTAGAAAAATACCAACCAGTGTCTGCTCCAGGACCAGGTTAGCCAGGTCAGTGACCCGATTGGGAGGGGGGGGGGGGGCAGGGTTACTTTGACCTGGTTAAAAACAGCAGTCACTTGTGACTGACCCTTCGAGATACTGCTGAAAAACTGCCAGATTCGGCTCGGAACGCTGTGAAATTGGCAGAGCCATACAAACCTTATGGCATGCACTTCCTTGAAGTCTGCTCCATTTCTTTATCTACATACCAAACATGAATGAAACGTACTAGAAAAAGCACCACCCTCTGTAAAATATTCGGCCAGCACTGCCTGCCAAAGGCTACTGGTGACCCAATTCACTGCGGGTCGCAGTACAGCTTGAAAAATCCTTCCGCTACCAAGCAAGACTTGAACCTGGTACCTCTCATTTCTAAATCATGGTCTTAGACCAACCGACTGTGCCTACCGGCCTATCTTCCGCAATGGTCACCTTTTACATGTATGTACATAATTGTCATTAGAGTAGATTTGCATTCATTTCTCTTCATGTATCTTATTATGTGGGTTTTGTGTGTGTATGTGTGAGCGTGTGTGTGTGCGTGTTTGTATGTGTGTGTGCTGTGTGTGTGTGTATATTTCTGTGTGTGTGTGTGTGTGTGTTTGTGTGTGTGTGTGTGTGTGTGTTTGTGTGTGTGTTTGTGTGTATGTGTGTGTGCGTGTGTGTGGTGCGTGTCCCATATGGTGCAGTGGTATGTGCAGTCGATTTCCAATCGAGAGGTTGCGGGTTCAATTCCAGATGATTATGGTCACACACGTCTTTCTTCTCTTTCTCATTCTCCTAGCTCTTCTTTCATTCTCCTCGGTGGTTACCAACAGCCAGTGTATGCCGGAGTATGTGGTGTTGCGTGTGTGAAAAAGAAAAGAAAAATAGGGATTCGCTGGCCCGAAAAAAGCCACTTCAATCAGCTGTGCGGTGGATACCAGGCTAAAAATTAGTGGCGGCAAATTCATCAGCCTTGCAAGCTGTTGAATGGTGTAATCCCAGCACAAGTTGCTATGTCTAGCATAGCTGTTCGCTATCATCGCTTCCGCGATGCGCATGTCTGAGGTATGAGGTGTGGTGTGTGTGTGGGGGGGGGGGGTGTATGTGTGCATGTGTGTGTGCATGTGCGTGTGTGAAAGTGTGTGTGTGTCTGTCGATGTCTGTTTTGTGCCTGTGCGTTATCTGGTTTGTGGTTTTCTTTCATTATGCAGTGGAACAAGTTAGAAGTACAGCAGCATGGCAACCATGCCAAGCTCGCCACGTACAGTGACAAACTGGTTGCTGTGTGGCATGTTGGCGTGGACGTCACCAAGATCATGAAGACATCAGACCTGCAGACATGGCACAGTATTGAGCTACCAAGGAAATACAGTAACTTGGCTGGCCCATCACTGGCATCCCATGGTGATATGCTGTACATGCACTGTGAAACCTACACCAAGACATGGATTCGCACCACCAGGATTGTGCGGTCTATCCTGCAGTACTGCGACACACCAGATAACGGTGATAGCGGCCGTAGTAGTAGTAGTGGTGGTGGTCAGTGGACCAAACTTACGAACGTTCAGCACGCTAGCTATCCCTGGTGTACTCTACATGTATGTGATGATGCTATTTCTCTGTATGGTGGCCAGCATGGTGATGGAACACAGCACAGTCATGTTAGCACCTATTCTCTAGCTAGCCAGCAGTGGAGCTCTTCTTCACCATCCAATGCTAGCCTAGTATTACCTTCATTGCCACAACCATGCAGCGACGCATCACTTGTCCTGTTCCCTGATTCACTGTACATAGTTGGTGGTGTTACTGGTTGTTTTCTCAAACACCATGATGGCAGGTGGGTGTCCACCACTCCACCTGATGGTGTTAAGCTGGTGGGTAGCGCAGCATGCGCACTGTCTGACCATTGCATGGTTATTTCCCCCTACACTCCTTCTGCTGAGTGTGTTGTATATGATATTAATTCATCTGGTCAGGTCTATCCACTACCAGCTATGGTTGCAGATAGTAGGTTCACTCCATCTCTCATACTGTTTGGCAGTACCCTGGTACTCAGTGTAGCTGGACGTGGCCATAGTCCTGGTTCTCTGTACACACTGGATATGAGTGTGTGAGTGTAGTGGGTTACTAACTACAATCAATCACTGATGATGAGTGCAGTATGCAAACCGTTATGCATAATACTTTCTCTTTTCCATCAGACTGTTGATAATATCAGTGTTTTCACATCACTGCGGCTGTCCAGTAATTTTGCTCCAAAATTTTTTGTTCCAAAAACTAGTTTCACGCCGCAACGTCCCCTGTCCATAATACCCAGACTGACAAGTACATGTATAAGTGAAACTCACTCTCATCTGTATACTCCGTTACTGTACTCTGGTACCTCCGAACAACTTCATTGTGTGTGTATGTTGGAGTGCTTTTGCGGAAAGGGGGTGGGGGGGGAGGGGGAGGGCAAGTGGAGTTGCATCATGCATGATATCCATGTTTGGAGTGACAGTTCAAGAGGTTGTTCATTGAACACCAGCTTAAATCCTTGTCTCCATCTTCAGATTTGTACTTTGCAACTGTGCTACACGTCTCTTGAGGAGGCAGACAGACAGACAGACAGACAGACAGACAGACAGACAGACAGACAGACACAGAGACAAGGAAAGAAAGAGAGAGAGAGAGAGAGAGAGAGAGAGAGAGAGAGAGAGAGAGAGAGAGAGAGAGAGAGAGAGAGAGAGAGAGAGAGAGAGAGAGAGAGAGAGAGAGAGAGAGAGAGAGAGAGAGAGAGAGAGAGAGAGAGAGAGAGAGAGAGAGAGAGAGAGAGAGAGAGAGAGAGAGAGGGAGGAGGGAGAGGGAGAGGGAGAGGGAGAGGGAGAGGGAGAGAGAGAGAGAGAGAGAGATGGAGAGAGAGAGAGAGAGAGAGAGAGAGAGAGAGAGAGAGAGAGAGAGAGAGAGAGAGAGAGAGAGAGAGAGAGAGAGAGAGAGAGAGAGAGAGAGAGAGAGAGAGAGAGAGAGAGAGAGAACGAGAGAGAGAGAACGAGAGAGAGAACGAGAGAGAGAGAACGAGAGAGAGAGAACGAGAGAGAGAGAACGAGAGAGAGAGAACGAGAGAGAGTATAGTCGAGATAATTATTGTAGTAGGTTACACAAGATGACCATGCCAGGGGGGCAACCCCCACCTCAGCCGACAAACGCCTCTCTCTCTCTCACACTCACACACACACACACACACACGCGCGCGCGCATGCACGCACACCATTAATTACTAGTATAACGATTGTACTGACAAGCCGTTTCGATTAATCGGTGGCCTATTCACCCTGCCGCGTCAGCTGATGTGTTCTTCCACCTCCGATTTTCTTGCGTTTGTGTTGTTCCATGAAACACTCTACTTCGCACTTCTTGAAGTACATGCCGGCTTTGACGGCAGCAAGCTTGTGGATTGTTCCAGGACCGAGAGCCAAGTGCTGTAGCAATACATTATCATCAGTCTATTTAATACGTTTTACAATGAAGTCCCAGCATGTGGTCGAAAGTAGAGCACCTTGCCAGATGTGCTCCATAGCCAAGGACTGGGGACGGGGTTCAGCCACAATGTAGTTTGGATGTGGAAACATCGGGCTCGGGACGAGTGTGGCTGGTGTACACCGCCTAGTGCTACGGGTTCACTACTGAGTGCAACTAGAATAGCGTTACTTGTGGTTTGGGAAAGCCAAGTCAAAAAGGACTGGAATTAGTTTGCCTCATGAGTTACCCCTGCGTACATCATGTACATATTCATGTACGCAGCATTGTTCATCGTATAACTGTTAGTCACTTAGTGTTACTACTGTAGTTGTACGAGTACTAGTACTACTGTAAGTAGTGCTGCTTGCCCGTAGAAAGTTCGACTTCTGTGCCATGACGACCGACGACGACGATTGCCACTTGAAAGAAGTAATGGCACAATTGAAACCAGGTTTATAATTACGTTATTGGATACAGAAATCAGAATCCGTAATTCCAGCAGGAATAATTTAGCTAACGACGTAGATCTACGGTCGGTATGACGCCAACACTGGCAAGAGGCTGGCCTGCAGAAGCAGACGATGAAGGCTGGCTCGGTGCAGTCGTATACATTGTCGGTGTACGTGTGCGTATGCATGATTCATGTTGGTGACTCAGGTCCAAGCACCGCACTTTGCAGGTCACGGCTTCAATCAGCGCTATGCCGCTGGCCAAAAATGCCCATGATGGGCCATGTTTGCCACGGCTCTAAAAACTGCGTGGGCGCATTGAGTTGCGAATAGAAGGCCTGACACGAGAGTTCTGACTGAAGTGAACGTCTGGACTAGAGCAGGGCGAACTGTCAAGAGCAGGCTAAATCGTGACAAGAGATCTGTTTCCGTAGGCATGGCGAAATGGCAGGCTAGCACACGATTGTCCGTCGCGTTGTCACATTAAGCAATCAAGGCCGTCAAACACTGTACAATTTTATTATGTGCAGTACCACATGACAGTCCCAACAGCGTGCCGGGATCTTTGGGGTCTAACTCTTGCCTTGGTTGGTGTTCGAGCACGCGTGCTTCGTGCTTATGCCTTTAGTTCATTTCAGATCTGTTTTGCGTTGACCAAAACCATGAAAACGGGTATGAACAAAGCACACAACCATAAAAAAAAGTATCATGAATATGGCCTACTTCACTGCACTTGGCATGCATGCTTTTCCATTGGCATTGATTTTCAGTAGGATGATGAGGTCTTGTGTTGACAACACGGTTTACAGTCAGTGCTAGTGGGAGTCTGGACTGGAGTGACTCTTGTGACACCAGCCAGTTCTTGAGATGTCATGCTGTGCATGCTGAGGGTACGAACATTCTACTAGGCACACACGCTCAGTCAACCAGTAGAATCTACACTATTATTTTTTGTGTCGCCGTGCGTGCGGCACCATATCGTCGCCAGACGCAACGTCAACTTTTTTTACTTTTCACAAAGTGCACTGTCTGTATTTGTACCAGACTTTGAAGGCATGCACTCATTCTTTTGTTTTGGCACATGCGTAGCACCGTGACTTGGTGACACCGTCCGTTTTTCTTTCAAGTACAGTACGGTGTTCCGAGGTTGATTCTACGCGGTGCCTATACTATCGCCTGTACATTTACATGTGCCCCGTAGCCCCCCACGTTCACGCTGAGCAGGACAACAAATCGCAAGGTCTTGTCGCTCTGCCGCAACGAGCACTTGTGAACATCGTAGATCTACTCACCTCAGCTGATGCCCCGGCCACACTGCGCTCACACCTCACCAGATCAAAGGAGGTGCATCAACGGGTAGTGTGTTTGCACTCAGTCTTGGACCTGCACTCTGCAGGCAGTTCCTCTAGGCTCTACCACCCTTGTCTCACACGCCAATCGCTGGATGCAGCGCAGGGCGGATAGAGAAGAGCTCGACCGATTGAGACGTCTCTGCTGGGATACGCAGTCTTTGGTGTCACCTAACTACTTCTGCAGCTGCAGGAAGACACGCCGAGTGTAATCTAGACGGTCCGGAAACTGCTGCCCTTTGCGAGCGGACACAAAATTAATAATAATTACATCAGATGTGATTAGATTCAGCGCATATTTGCCAATGTGGCTAGCGGTGAGGTTCAGTCAGAGATTTCTTGGAGAGCCAAACTCCCTGTGTATTTCCTCTCCTGGAATCTAGATTTATTGAGATGATCGCGCGTGAGTTGTGGAGATGTTCGTCTTGCTGGATTCTGCTCATCATGAGCAGTGTGTTGTGCCGTTCTGCTGTTGGAGCTTCGTGTGTAACGCGTCTGGAGAACGCCACGGCCATTAGCCAATGCGCAACGTTATGTTCGGTGAGTGAATGTCTGATTTTCTTCTCTCTTGTGTAAACACAAAGCGGAAATGTACATTATGTAGTCGGGTATGTGTTATTAGCGATGGGTAGCTGTGTAACGACAGGCTGCACGTTTTCCTCCTGAACGGGCTAAGTTGAGTTTCATTGCCGTCGCGGGTTTCCAGTTTAATTTTTATGATGTTCGATTATCCCGGACACTAATGATTGTGTGACAGCAGGCGTGACCATTGGTGACCCACAGTATTATGTAAAGACCGCTCGGTGTTTGTCTGCTGTGCCATCATCTGGGGTATGTCGGGAATGCATTTTTCGTAACCTTCCCAGTCGCAAAGCATTCCAAAAGTCGGTCCTCTAGCTAGGCATTTCTTCAGTCAGAATCGCCTTGTGACATGCGAGGTCCGTGCTGGCAAGATAATTTATTATTTATTTAATGAATGAACGCCACACGGGTTTATGCTAAGGTTCGGATTTTCGAGTTGTCAGTTGCAGTGTCAAAATCTCTTCTGTTGTGGGTGCTCCCGTTTGATAATGTTCGCCTCTGTAGGGTGCGTATCATAATCTGCGATCCGGGACCTTGTAAAGTAGTAGTTGAATATCAATCTGGAAACCCGTTGAGTAACAATTCTATTCACAAACCTTTTGGCAGTTGTGCCGCAGTCGAACTGCCACATTTTTCTAGAGATCGCTGACCTGTATTTGTTGGGGAGTAGTGGCACGTCTGCCGATCAGCAGATGCTGTCAAAGCAGCCTTGCCTTGCAAGTCACACTCGCATTCGTTGCCTGTGGTCGAGTTCAGATTCGTGGGTGTCAAATTTGTGCGTAATTAGGGTTGTTTGCATTCCGATTGATGGAGTTTCTCCTTTCACAAGAAGTGAATACAGTAAAGTAAAAAAAAACTAGTTTACACGTGAACTGTGTGGGTACAGTGAAAGCTGCGTCCCTCTATCCAGTGTGGGTTCACAGGAGGCATGAGTGTCGAAGTCTGAAGAAAAGTTCGTTGTTTAGAACCATTGCTGCTGGGATAGCATCTACACTAAAGCGCATTGGAGCATTGCTGGCCAAAGCCAAAGGTCAGGGTCTCTGGTTGAGTACTGGTGGTGACAGTCATCTTGTTCCTCAGACATTTCCCATTTCAACTCCCTCAAAGTTATGAGGATAAAGCTGACTGAATATGTTTTGCCAGTGAGGAGAGGTATTTCGATATCCCTGTGTTGGCAATCGAAAAAGCTAGTGGTACGAGTACAGAGGTACATGTACTTGAGCTTGCTTGGAGTATGGCGTGCATGGCAGGCTCTACAAGTTATGTACATGAGTAAACATCACCCACACTCACAGCTGTAAGGGACAGGACACACTGTAAATGATTTTAGTAGCTAATAATAATGATTAATGTGCAGCCCGCGAGTAGGATGAGTCATCTTGAGTGTGATGCCCTAGGCCGACGTCCTGATGGGTTTGATGTACCAGAGAGCCATCCCCACGTAGGATAACCATAGTGACTTTGGCAAGCATGATTGTGCAGTGTTACTGCCAGATCATGCAGATGTTCTATCAAGAATTAGATCAATGAATGCTTTGAAGAGCCCTGCACTGTACTTGCAGCCAGACATGTGGTGTGTGTGTGTGTGTGTGTGTGCTGGGGGGGGGGGGGGGCAGTATACTAGTACCCCTCCCCCCCCCCCCCCCCCCGACATGCACTTGGTCCACACCAGCTCAGCAGCAGAGATTACAGTATCTAGAAAATCGTATGTGAAAGAAAGGAAACAACCTTCCAGGAGACAAAAGTTGTAATTAAAACTCTGTAGACAGTATCTGTGCCTCAGACATTACCATGCAAGTGAACGTGTCCAGTGTTTAAAAAACTTTAGTTCTGTAAATACCACTGATAACCGAACAAAATTGATTCTGGAATTGTACACCTTTCTCTGGACACGCAGGAAGGTCTGAAGAAATATTGACTGTCACCACCAGGACTCGAAGCAGGGACCTTCCCTTGAGGCCAGCGATGCTCTAACCGCTGAGCTATGACGTAGCTGTCATCCTAGCAGAGTGTGATTGTTAAAGTGCCTGTTTTTCTGATGTTGGTGTGTTGTCTGTTTAGGATCAGCTGACTAACTCCAGCCTGTTTTTCTGATGTTGGTGTGTTGTGTGTTTAGGATCAGCTGACTAACTCCAGCGCAACGACCAGTATCACATTGGTAAGACACTGCTCTGGTACAGTGTGTGCTACTTTAGCCAACCAAAAGGGGGGGGGGGATTCCCCTTCTGGGGCAAGTGATGTTTGCATTTACGAAATTAATGTACCGTATTTTCCGGAGTGTTATTATTATTATTATCATAGTATAAGCCGCTCCAGAGTATAAGCCGCACTGGAGTATAAGCCGCGACCAGGTTTTTCGTAACGAAATACAGACATCTGTCCGGTGTATCACTGTTCATTTAACCACGGTAGTATAGGCCGCACTCGCACTGACTTTTTGGTGGCGACTTACGAGCGTTTAGGTAGTTGCATTTACTCCGTAAAATACGGTACCCGTTGTTTAGATATATCCCTAGGCTGTGTCAGCACTGCTTTTGGCTGTACTTACACTTCTCACTACGCTCCCGCTCTCTTATTCCGCTTGTACATGTACTGCAGCTTGTGCAGCGTCAAAGACTATCCGGTCAATGCGCCGAGCACTGCAGACTAGCGTACACGCGGGGAATGTGCCACTGCCGTGACGGATGTGTAAGTTGTGACGCTGGGAGGAACGTGTGTCTGAGTGCACGGCAGTTCGTCAGGATTGCCGTGTCTTTAGGATGAAGTCCGCACGGGTGTAGCTGCACCCTTCCCATTCCTTTTTGTCTACTGTCTCTTTCTGTTGGTCTGTCTTGTGTTGGTCTGTCTTGTGTTGGTCTCTCACGTTTTGCTTCTATATCCTCCCCTCCACCTCCCTTTCTTCCACATTGTGCTCTCTGTTTCTATCCCTCTCACCCTCTCTCACCACCCGCCCAACCACCCCCCCCCTTCCCTCTCTCTCTCTCTCTCTCTCTCTCTCTCTCTCTCTCTCTCTCTCTCTCTCTCTCTCTCTCTCTCTCTCTCTCTCTCTCTCTCTCTCTCTCTCTCTCTGTCTCTGTCTCTGTCTCTCTCTCTCTCTCTCTCTCTCTCTCTCTCTCTCTCTCTCTCTCTCTCTCTCTCTCTCTCTCTCTCTCTCTCTCTCTCTCTCTCTCTCTCTCTCTCTCTCTCTCTCTCTCTCTCTCTCTCTCTCTCTCTCTCTCTCTCTCTCTCTCTCTCTCTCCCTCTCCCTCTCCCTCTCCCTCTCCCTCTCCCTCTCCCTCTCTCTCTCTCTCTCTCTCTCTCTCTCTCTCTCTCTCTCTCTCTCTCTCTCTCTCTCTCTCTCTCTCTCTCTCTCTCTCTATTTCCTACGGCTGCATGAAAGGCCTCTGCTTTCTTTTTTCAATTCTGGTCTTTTTCGCATGTCTAATGTGGGCTGACGTGCATGATTTGAATGCATATGTGGCCATAGCTGCCGAAAGATTGGACATGAACACTTCCTGGTTATGAACTCATGTTATTGTGTCCGTGTGTGTGTGTTTTTGGTGTGTATGTATGTGTATGTATGTGTGTGTGTGTGTGTGTGTGTGTGTGTGTGTGTGTGTGTGTGTGTGTGTGTGTGTGTGCATACATGTATGTGTGTGTACATGGTGTGTGTGTGTATGCGTGTATGTGTTTGGTGTGTATGTATGTGTTTTGTGTATATGTGTGTGTGTGTGTGCACGTGTGTGTGTGTGCGCACACACGCTGACTTGTGTATATTTGCATAATATGTTTCTATTGTTGAACAGCTCGACTCACTACCCTGCCTCACAGCATGTGGACTAACAGGTACAGTATTATCACACATTTACCTCGACTAATCCGGGCCGTCCGGGACCGGCCACTGCCCGTAGCTTTGAAAGGTCCGAATCGCATACATTTTTATAGGGAAAGACCACACGTATGGCATATGACGTCACTATTTCCACAAGAAGTGACAAAAGAGTAGTAATATTTCCACTGCAACTAGCCTTGGTTGACTGAAATGAACGTATCTTCGGGTACGGATAACCGAGGTATGAGTGTAGTACACAGAAGACTCTGAGTAGTATTCTGAACCAGCAACTTTGCATGGCGCACATCAGAATCTTGTTTTCAGCATCACGGCTCATGCGTGTACTCACTACTGAGCTTCTTCTGGAGAGAGGTTGTGTGTGTGTGGGGTGGGGGGGGGGGGGGTGCGTGCGTGTGTGTGTTATGCGATTACTTCACTACATCATTTGAGGGTTTTTTTATGGAGTATCAAGATCGTGGCGCAGCAAGCTCTCCTTTGCCATTCAGTAGAAATTAGCTCTGGTTTGCCACTCGAATCTCAACGCAAACCAGCACTGGCTTGTCATGCTATTCAAATTTGCCGTTCAAATCCCAGAACAATCTAGCACCACCAGTCAATACAAACTAGAACTGTTTTCCACTGCATGCGTAGCGTATGTCATGATTTTTTTAAACTTTGTTTTACTTCGCAAAATCCAAACAGGAATTTATTCCTAATGACAAGGTAGCGAAGAGGGAAGAAAAAAAGAGAGAGAGAGAAAAAGGAAAAAAGAAAAAAAAAGTGTGCATGCACTGGAAATGATAGTCAGCTGGAAATCAATTGTGCGGATTTCATTTCCACAGCCTCGATACATGCTTTCTTTGTGCCAAGTTTTCTGACCGCTTTGCATGGAAACTGTCGTGTAAAGTGCCGGTGAGAAAATGGCAGTACACAGCCCACAATACTGTGCTGTGCCGATAGACACTGACATTGGGCATGGGGAGATACGCAGGGTAGTGAAACATGTTTTCTTTTCCCGTTTACGACTCTTCTACAGGCTCCTATAATGGCATCGCTAGCAATGCGACCGCTCTCAAGATGTGCGTGCGTACGATGGTGCAGCCGGACCTCACGCTGCGGACAAACATCTACTGGATGCCGCTGGAGTCCGATCTGCGTCTTATGGGCATGATTACAAACAGCAGTGTTTATTACCATGCGCCTGAGCTGCATAAGAGCGAGTCCGAGAAGGAATACAGTATATCTGGGATCGCGCTGTTTCATTATTATAACGTATGTATTGTGTATGCATGTGTGGGTCTGTGGGTAATGCTTAGTGGCGGTCCCAGGGGATGTGCGTTTGTGCGTAATAATCGTATGCTGAGTGTACATGTGTGTGTGTGTGTGTGTACACGCACGTGTGTGTGTGTGTGTGTGTGTGTGTGTATGTGCGTGTGTGTGGGTGGGTGCATGTGCGCGTGCGCGCGCGCGTGCGTGCGTGTGCGTGTGTATTCGAACATGCATCAAGCATGTGTACGTGTACTCATGACAATACATTGTATGTATTTCCTGTTCTACCAATTGGCAAATCGCACAAGGGTCCGTAGAAACATCAAGGAAGAAATAAAACCAACGGAGAAAAATACCGATAAAGATAGAGAGACAAATACAGTCAGACCTCGCATAGCCGCATGCATTCGTTTTCCACAAAAATATCCCGATAGACGAGGGAACCAGATAATCGAACACACATACTGAATGTATGCATGGCATATGCTGTAAATCAGTTGGCAACGATTTTCTTCCGGATGGCGAGGGATCCGGATAAAAGAGGACCGGACAAGCGAGGTCTGACTGTACTGATGAAGAGCAAGAACGATGCAGACCCAATAAGGATCTAGTTGACATTCAAGGCAGTTTGATATTACATGTGCTAAACGTAAATGCAAGAGTTACTCTACTCTGAGACACAGAACTGTTTTTTCTGCACCCCGCTTCCTCTCCAGATCTCGTCCCCGCTGTCATTCCCTCTGCTGAAGACCATCAGGAACGGCAGCAGTGCGGGGCAGAGCGTGGCTCCGTACAACGTGGGCGTCCGTGTGGCGGTAAGAAGCCACAGTAGCAATTGTAGAAAGCTGCACCATGTATTGTGTTCATGTGCCAACCAAGGAATGACAACTGTTCCATCTACTGTAGCAGACATTGAAATCCATTATGATAGGTCAAGCAGCCATGGGGCACTGATTTTTGAAATTTCAAATTTTCACGCACCAAAAGTGCTGTGGATCCAACGTGCGTCCCTGGATCAAGCGGAATCCTGTCATGTCAGGATGGTTTCCGCTGCACCACGGGCATCCGGTGGGCCAGGTTTTACTGCACCTCATATCTACCTATACAAAAGTGGCTGGGTGGCAAGGTCACTTTGCGACGTGTCCTTTTTTGTTTTGATTTCAGGACGTTACGTATTACATGCCAGGCGCTAAGCCAATCGCGCAACAGCGACTTGACAATAACAGAGTGGGTGGTCGTACCGGTGACTACGTTTTGTTCTCGACTCCAGGTGAGTGGAGCAGCAGCATTCAGACACGCTCATGTGATCTCTGTGATCTGTGTGTCTGAATTTATGAAGCCTGAGGTGATGTTGAGGGGGCTGGAGGAGGCTGGGGGGGGGGGGGCTGGAAGGGGACTGAAGGGGGGGGGGGGGCAGACAGCATTGTACATGCTGGTTTGCGGTTATGTGCATTGTTCTATGTCCTAGTTGATGGGTGAGTAGCTACCCAGACAATATACCCCCCCCCCCCATGGCCTTCCCAATGTTTACTTCATACCTGTCGTTGTAATGTACCACTGCTATTGTTGTGTTGCATACTCCTTCTGCAGAGTGTAATCAGGTCAAAGATCACTTCTCCAAGTGTGCGGATCCGCAGTATGCTGATGTCTCGTCACCAACCCGTGAGTTCTAGCAGGAAAGTAGCTAGCGGACATTGGCCCAGCTCTAGGTTGTATTGGACTGCTATTGGCTGGTTTTAAATCCAAGTATGTAATTTGTAGTGCTACAAAGGGCTGATAAGGTAGGATAGGGTTGATACCACCAGCCATAATAGGGGTTTGTCTGTTCTGTGCATGGGTTTGTCTGTTCTTGTAGAATACTACGATCCCATCAACGTGAGCGGTTTCAACGCCAAGTCAAACACAATGGCCAACCCGGTGAGGGCTGCACAGCAAGATGCTCCCGTCGAGCAGTCGTACCAGCTGGCGCTGGCGCTGCGTTGGACGTACCAGCTGTTTGAGCACGTGCCCCGCGATAGTGCCGCCCCGGGTGTCATTGCCCACGCGTACGACAGCTGCACGCCGCACTCCTGCTGGTGCTGGGAGAGCTGTGATATCCGACATGTCGTGTCCGCCGTGCTTATCATCACAACACAACGGAACACGACTGTGCGCAGGACGCAAGACTTTGTAAGCGTAGCGGAATGACTCTCTGCATTCATTATTAACACACAAACGGCGAGGAGATAACAATTGCACGACCACCGTTTTGCATTGCATGAATAAAGTATGGCACAAATGTCTATTCAGCTTTTCTGATTGATTGTGGTTATACGATTGCATTCATTGTGGCTATTGTTAGCATGCTCCGTGACACTGTTCACTTTCCAGGCTACTGCAGTTACTCACGTCAGATACTGTAAGCGAAAGATCATGCTTCAGCATGCGGCAAAGGAGGTTTTAAGCCGAACTAATAACTTTACAACATCCCCAGACAAATTCACTGATTCGGGGAAAGTCCCAGCAGGATTGGAGCAACAGTAATGGAATTACAACATCTGGACGCTATATTCTGTATCATGGTGTCATCCTGATGTCATCATGATGTCATCATGTGTAAAAATAGCACATGACTACAGAGACTGGTCTCTGATGCACTCTGGGGTGGTTGCTAGGGTTCACTGTACATAGACTGTCTGCTGCAATTGTCGCAGTTTCAAAACTTGCTTGCAAGTGCATGCAGTCGGATCTTGTATTGTCCAACCTCCTTTGTCCGGTGTAAGGCTGGACATGTGTGGTCAAATTCTGTCTTGTTCTTACTCCCTTGTTCGGCTTGCAACAGGAAACAGTGGAAGAGAACCCGGAATATGTGCACTGTCCCCATTTTGAGGTATGCTCTAGCTGACCAAGCATAGCCACACAGTGGTATGCATCTTGCCATTACCGGTATTTGTGTCTGCAAGATCTTTGCATATCCAATGGCCATGACTCACGAGAAGCCATGGAGTTAGGGGGGGGGGGGGGGGGGAGTAAATAAAGTATAATTATCACGATGTTGTGTGTGTGTGTGTGTGTGTGTGTGCCAGCTAGTTTTGTTGGTGGGTACACTTATGCCGGGTAGTGCTAGTTCTGTTGCCAACGTGCTCGGCTGCTCGAAGGTGTAATGTTGTACCTACCACCTTTGTTGGTTTCAGGGTTCATATACTTTCTATTTGAAGTATACATACCTGTTAATCATGGACTACTTCTGGCTAGATTAACTCTTGTGTAATCATGGTGCTACTGAAGCTTGCATCAGATCCACTCTGATTTAGCCACCCACACTAGTTTATTTTTTTATTTTATTTTTTTATACGAAAGTCCACTATATTCCCGAATACGTGCGAGAAGTGGTGGCGGGGCCAGGCTGCTCTGCCGACCTCAAAGGTCTCGGCGTCTACGCATAACCTTCACTGGGGGCAGGGGTAACTGCAGTTGGATCCCAGGATGGATACCCTGATGCCGTCAATCCTTTTTCTGCACCTTGTCCTCACCCACTTATTGAGGTGTGGTGAGCCTATAAGTGGGATCATTTTCAAGTCCATCCAGAGTTTTGGGGATTTCAGGGGGTGTCGGCCGTTGGGCGGTTCAATAGCCAATTGAGTCATCTTTCCAAGATTCCTTTTGAGTCTCCCTCCCCTCTCCCCGGGGGGACCCACGTGACATTAAGGTGTGTGCATGCGCGTGTGTAGTGCCTTTGCAGAGCAATTCCGTAGTACCTCAGCCCTGAGTGTTTTGACCGGAGTATGCATGTACATTGTTCTTGTTCACTTACAGGCCGGCAAAGATATATCGCTGAGCATTGGGGCAGATCGGCTGTATGATGGTGCTGGCCTGTCCAAGTACCCTGCCAATGAAAACGTGACAATACTGGTTACGGTAAGTGATGTCATTGAGTGCCAGCCGGGGTATATCATTTCACTCTGTTTGTTCATAAAGTTGAGGGAGTTGGAAATGGGGAAGTCTGAAGAAACATTGCCTGCCACCAGGGTACTACGCGCGAACCATGGACCCTCCGTTATGGCCAGCGATGCTCTACCACTAAGCTATGGTGTAGTCGTCATCCCTGCAGCGACCGCTCAACACATTCTTCCCAGGCCTGTCGGAATCGGTGCAGTTGGTCGGGTTATCACCGGACCAACCTTTTGGCCACCAACACGTATCTGCTGTGGAGGCCTTTTGTACCCACGACATATACACAGACTGTATGACAGAACATGGTACTACCGGATCAATCAGAAACTGTTTCCGGTGATCCTGGTTTGGACCTCCGAACATTCTACTTGATTAAAAAAAATGTTCACGGTTCGCGTCAGACTCGGCTAGAGGCCGAGTTTTCCGCATCCGTAGGAACGCCACCACCCTTCAAAGATCACTTGAAGGCGCAGATGCAGCTCCTAAAGCTACTTGATTGATCTCCTTTAATCAAGAATGGTGAACGTCTCTGCAATGAGGTGACTGCTCAACTTACCTTAGAAATCAATGTTGTCTCTGTGTGGTCAAGTGGTCTCCTTATCCAGGGTGACTTGACTGGAAATAACATCCCTTGGCCCCGGTTGTAGTGGTCCTCTGGAGCAATTGGCTGTTTTATCAGAGTAGTCGCCTTGACAGATTTTGCAGTGTATTTTTCAATCTGTTGCACAAGGGAAACGAAAAACGAGAATATCCAAACAATAAAAGGTAAATCTCTCTTGCGCTTTCGATTGTTTCGATATCGTGCACAAGCGCCTATGCCTGGATTTGAACTCAGGCGTTCTGCGAACTAAATTCTCGTTTTGCTCTTCCTTGCAGGTCACCATCCGATCATACTATAAGGTGGATGTGCACTTTGGCCCATTGCGTAATGCCTCTGTGTTTAACTACACGTTGGAGAATGTGCTACTTACCTTGTCGGGTGGTAAGTTTCTGGTCAATGTGTCCTACAATATTTTGTACATTTTAACTCGGAATATTTGTTTCCCTTTGTAGCAATTAAATCCAGTGGAACAAAAATAAATCTAAAAAAGCGTCCAGGTGGTGACAAGTAGGTAAACAGTAGCTTTCGGCCTTGTCAATAAGGCTATTCCACCTCCACCACCACATGCACTCTCTGGCCGGCCATCAAATTTTAATAAGCAACACGACTCCAAGTTCTAGATACTGATGACTGCGTGAGCATGAAACTTGAAGTAGCAGCAAACAAGCCTTGATTGTCCTTGTTGTTCTGTTGTGTACATAGTGACTAATAATATCTCCTCCTCCATACAGCGCTGTTTCCACCATTGTAAGGCATTGTAAAGGCCTCGTCATCATCAAAGTGAAGCTTTGGAATAATGACGGAATAGTTTTTTGGAATAATGAATAGCTAGAACTATTTAAAAAGTTTGAAAGTTTAAAACTCTGCTTTCAAATTAGTTCTAGCCATTCATTTTCTAAACATTCACTGGTGAGACTTTAATATAGTCCAAACAGCGCTGTATGGAGGAAGTATTATTTTTGTCACTATCTACAACTTGGAGTCGCGTTGCTTGTTTGATGGTCAGCCAGAGAGCGCATGTGGTGGTGGAGGCGGAATAGCCAGGCGGTGACAGTCAATTTTTTTATTCAGACCTTTCCCTATTGCATCTTTTCCTCAAACCAATGAATATTCTAAAACGGGATTTATTTTTGTTCCACTCTATTTTTGTTTGTACTGATCACTGCTGAAGCTCTGCACGTTGTGTATAGAGCACTCTGACCAGTAGTCAAGGTCCAGTCGTGTCGATTCTCGGTAATGTTGGGTGGTTCTTGCTGGTGAAACAAGAATAGCAAGCGAATGCAATGGAGCCTGCGGCGTGCAAAGATGCGGCATGTGTGGGAGCGTACTGTACGCGGGTTCTGTTGCCGTTCCGTGACAATCGTTTCCGTTGTCGTGGGAGCGTACTGTACGCGGGGTCTGTTTTCGTTCCGTGACAATCGTTTCCGTTGTCGTGGGAGCGTACTGTACGCTGGGTCTGTTTCCGTTCCGTGACAATCGTTTCCGTTGCCGTGTGGGTTTCTCTGGTTCTCGTACCCAGGCGTGGATGGTGCGAATACTCCGACTCCACTTGCTTCACGGACGGTATCGAGCAGCACGTCACCGTCGTTCTCATCTACCATAGGGGAGAAGGCAAGCAACGGCAGCATGTTGGCAGTGACAATCCCAGTGGCATTGATCAGCAGCGTACTGGTACTGCTTATCCTCATCGGCATATTCACTCGGGCATGTAAGTAACCGCGGTTCGGGAGGGGGGGGGGGTGCAGTGCCCCCCCCCCTTCCCCTCACCCTACCCCTCCCCCCCCCTGATAGCGTACCATCCTACTCGTTTTTCGATTCTTGTGTTTTTCAGTTCATACGATGTACAACAACACACAACGTGCAGCCACAAATCGATTGTTCCGGGTGCTCGCTGCGCCCGTATGTTGCATTGTTTGTGTGACAAGGCGATAGTGGAACAGGGAAAAATGGGTGAACTGTTTGTTTACTCTTGCCCCACGTTTTCATGTTTGGAATTCGTTGAATGCATTGCTGCGTGGCATACTGAGCTAAATTGCTTCACAGGCATGCCACAACCGGTCCGGCTGGTCAGGTTATCACCGGACCAACCCTTTGTCCACCAACACACGTCTACTGCTGAGAGGAGGCGATGTGTATACCTACCATAATCATACACAAAGTTTGAAAGGCCATGATGCTACCGGACCAAACAAAAACTTCTTCCGGCGGTTCTGCTTCATTTCTTTCGTTTCTTTTCATGTTGTACTCCCTGCAGGGAAGTATCAGAAATGGAGGCCGCAGTGTGTAGCGCGTAACAACACGTTGGAGAAACTGCAGAAGATCCGTGTGACCAGCACGTTCCAGAACTCCACCAACATGTCGTACCAGTGAGTGTCCCCTGGGTTAGCATGCTCCCAGTTGACCAAGGGTAGCAGCACCGCCTGAGAGTTAAGAAGCATTTCCACCCACAGAACCAGCCCATGGGTGGGACATGGTAGTAGTGTGCACGAATGACACTTGGTGTTGTAGTATCTACGAGTGCGTAGCTGCCATCATTAGCTTTCCAGAGAGTGGTTATTTGTGAGAAATGGCCAAAGGAGAGCAGAGATATAACAAAAGTCGTATTTTTGTAGACTCTGAATTGACTCAATTGCGAAAATAATGGGTAGTGAAAGGGTTAATCAGTATTTCTATCCACAGAACCAGCACATGTGTGGGACATGGTGATAGTGTGCATTGCCCTATCGTGCCGTGTCTTCTGCAGGAGTGCTACACGCTGCAGTGCCATGGCGCAGGACTGGCCGACAGTACCGCGCAGCAATATCAATCTGGAAATGTAAGTGTTTGCTGACTGCCGGCGCATTGTGACGTTACTTATGCAGGGTCGGCGGACCAACTGTCTGGCTGGTCAGCCCATGGCCCGACCAACTGTCTGGCTACCAATGTATGTAAACCGCTCAGGAAGTCATTTTTATTTGATTTATTTATTCATTTTTTACAACATGAATTCACGGCCAGTGTCCGACTCACGATAAGACTAAATTTTCCGCCCGCGCAGAACCGTCACCACCCACCATGCCTGATGTTCAACTAACGTAGTCATTGGGGTTTTTGTGCTGCAGCTACGGGATAGATCAGCACACTATGCTGCCATCAATAACAACGTATAATTGGGACGCTGCAAGTGTATTTGCCTGGGAAACACTTTGATTGTTCAACCTGACAATTTTTTTCTATTTCTGGCCGTGCACGTGTATTGCCTTACCCATGTAGACAACTTGGTAGTGGTCAGTTTGGTGAGGTCTACAGGGCCACCGTACATCATCTGAATAGCCGCGAGGCGTCAACACAAGTCGCCATAAAGGTCAGCGCAATACTGCCGATATTCTACTTGATGTGTGTATGTGTGTGTGTGTGTGTGTGTGTGTGTGTGTGTGTGTGTGTGTGTGTGTGTGTGTGTGTGCGTGTGTGTGTGTGTGTGTGTGTGTGTCCACTTGACCACAGTCCGTGTCCCGGTGTGGATATAAAAAATATTTCCCTCCAGGTGTGTAGGTGTAAGTTTTATTCTTCCTGTTTGTGTGGTTGTTATAAATGAACTTCACCTATGATATGTACCAGGTTTTGTGAATGATGGTTTGTTTCGGTCCGATGTATTCACCACTTGCGCATATTGTCATGTTCTTGATAGGTGTTGAAGGAGGGATCTTCAGAGAAGGATGAACATGACTTTCTGCGTGAGGCCAGTCACCTGAAGTAAGTCGTTAGTTCGTGAACTTGAAACGTTCATTAAAACTGGAAATGATACTGAACATGCTCCACAACCTGCTGTACTTTTGAAGCACACTCATATCTCCACAAAAATGGAAAAAGGAGTAAGATTTCCACACAAAAAACTCACCCACAGAGCGCCCAGTAGACCAAGGTGCCTGTAACTTTGAGGTCTGCATAAGAGAGATATGAGCGTGCATGCATTAACATTATAACTTTGCTTATTTACATCTGTGCTATCAGTTTTACACTGCTCTGGGCAAGTGAGTTTGCTGAATATTAACCATCCCTTCTTACTAGGGGTGAAACGATTAGTTCGAATATTCGAGTATTCGTTCGAAAATTTCAAACGAGCGAGTATTCTAAATTTTGCACTCGATCGTTTTTTTTTTTTTTTTTTAGGATTGGCATTGTATTTTTTTTAAACTTTTGTTGTACCGCTGGTCCACTGGTATGCATGCGTTATGCATGGCTTTGAGTCAGTATTTTAAGACTTGGACGATGCGATCACCACGGCAAGTAACGTTCTGAGATATGAAAGTACTGATGAAAATCGTTACTTTACACTCTGTACAAGACGTTGGCGACTTTTGTTCTATGTTCACAGATAATTTCTTCCGAATTGGTCGAGAACTTGCAAATCTAGCGCTTTTGAATTTTGATAAAATACTCGAAATAATCGGATACTCGATCGAATATTATGAACGAGTGATCGGTTGGTCAAAATAGATACTCGTTTCACCCCTACTTCTTACCTATGCTGACGTCATTCTTTGTTCTTTCTCACACCTCACATCAGTCATAACTAGTGCAGGTTTGGCTGTGGACAGTCATATTGCAAGACAAAAAAGAGTGATTTTGCCTATATCAACCATCTCTTCTTGCCTATGCTAACGTCCTTCTTTATTTTCTGAAGGAGTTTCCGCCACCCGAATGTCATTCGGCTGCTGGGTGTGTGTCTGGACGAGGATCCGAAGATGATTTTACTGGAACTGATGGACGGCGGTGACCTGCTGTCCTATTTGCAATCAAACAAGCCTGGAGCTGTAAGTGACGGTGGCCCGGGAATCGTACACTGTGGACATGCTCACGTAATGCATGCTTTAGAGTTTAGATCCGATCCGGTTCAGCGAATTGAAGATTGTCCCACCATGTACATGTAAATATGGACTTCATCTTTAGAGAGATAGCAATGACGGTATGATCAAAGGGTTTCAACACATAAAACAGCTCACCGACGGTATGTCACGTTCTCTGGTTCTGTGCTCGCTTGTTGTCCTGCCGTTTCTCAGGCGCGACCAGCCTGGGATGATGCAGAGTACATAGACATTGCACTGGATATCACGGCCGGTCTCAGATACCTGGAAACGGAGAAATACGTGCACAGGTAGGCGTTACGTTGACATTGTCCCGTCTTATACTACCATCACAGTCTACTCTCGACAAGTCCTGCACTTATAAGTCACACACTCGTGATAAGTCACGGAAATTTTCCTATCCGGACGGTATGTACTTTTGTTCGTGTACAACTAAGGGGTCGTCGTAAAAGTTTTGTGTCGTCCCTGAAACGAATATGATTCATTTGGAGGGGGGGGGGGCGGGGGAGGGGAGGGGGTGCAAGCCAAAATCGCAAGTCGACCGACACTGTACATATGACATGTACATGCATGCGATTTTCGTCGTCCAGCATAGCAAGCTGTGTTCGTTTCAGAGGGAAGGGAGGGCGTCCGAGTACGAAATGAATGATGCTCGTTTCAGGGACGACAAAAAACTTTTGCGACGACCCCTTACAGTAGATGTGAGTCATGCACTTGCGACAAGTCATGCATTTTGATAACACTGATATCCTTCAACCAGGTTAGGCCAGTGTTGCATCAGCAATGCAGCTCCTTTTAATGTACCCTAGTAGTGCCCCATTTCTACATCGGGTATTCTCTTGACCATGAAAGCCTCTGTTACAAGCAAGCTACCAGAAGTAAACCAAATCCTAGAAAGAGCAATACAGGTAGACTCCCTCTAATTCAAACACGGTATAATTCGAATACTAGTATTCCGTGTAATTTGAACTCCTTCGTCGTACCGATCTTCTGCAAGTCACTTCAAGTCAAACTCGAATGTATGAAAAGTGCGCCCGCTAGATACTTTAAACTCTGTCTTTGTACAGAAGAGTAGTTTACAGTACAGTGGCTGTACAACCATCAGGGGCGTTGGAAGGTATTTTAGTGTGGTACGGTCAGCCATCTGAAGTACAATTTTACTCGTGGGGGAGGGGTGGCTGAGCCGAAAATTTCGGAATTTTCGATCCCAGATCAGTGTATTTTGTGGATTCACGGGGTATCTGGGGCAAATAGTGGTACGGTCAATACCGTAGTGACCGTACCGTGTGCGACGCCCCTGACCATAGTATCTTCTGTATTACAGTCTCAGATGTACTGTGGCTCATTTGGCGACTTTCTGTGTTGTGCACTTTTCATCTCGCAGGGACGTGGCAGCAAGAAACTGCCTGGTTTCGTTCAACCCCGAGAACAGCAGTCTCGCTGTCAAGCCATCCAGCAGTGGGAGGATTGTCAAAATAGCAGGTAAGAATGACTGTATCTCTGTGCTTTACTTGCTCCAATGTAATTTAGAACCGCGTGAGTTGCACTGTTCTCAGCAAGGGCCAGCTTGTTTGCATACTAACTTTGTATATTCATGGACTGTTAACTTGTAATCATTGCAGGGAATAATTTACTTATATATTTTGCATAGTAATTTTGCTTTACAAAATCGCTTCGCAAAATCAATCTTGAATGGCAATTCGAAACTGTCCCGGAGAAATTTTCTTCAACACTTGACAACATTGTCTTTCTGCAGAGCTGATCAGAGTGACACACCCGGCATGCGAACTGTGTGCCATAGGGTACAGAAGAATTAGTTAGCAAACTGCGACGCAATACCGGTTATATTATTCCCTGCGTGACTGTCATAATTTCGCTGCAGTTCATCGTCGGATCATACTGATATTTCCACAGAAGATGCCATTCTGTCTTCAGATTGCTACGATGTTCATTACGATGCCATAGAACATTGCACAATAAGATCTTACTGTTGCTTCCCGTTTGGTCTGTGTGTTTGTGTTGTCTCAGATTTTGGACTTGCCCGAGATATTGACCGGTAAGGAAAATCCGCAATGAAAGAATGGAAATTTAGAATACGCGTATGTTTTGTATTGTGTAGGCGATCAATTGAGAATAAGTCACTTCAAGGATGACCTGTGATGGTGCTGGGTCAAGAACGTGCCAATAGCTGCTGCTGGAACAGTGCGCCGAGTGCAGAGTTCATGCATATGGGCATCTTCAGGCCACTGAGGATGACGCTGGTGAATATAGTCCAAACGCAGTCTACAATGTAACTTCGTTTTGTCCGTGCGGGAAAAGCGTGAGACTGAGTTTTGCGAGCATCCAACCTATTTAATAATTATTGCCAAAGTCGCTACACCTTTTTTGTATAATATAGTAGTCCCCCCCCCCCCCTTCGTGTGTATAATGATTGTAGTACAGTGGTCCCTCTATAATCCGGCACCATTTGTGCCACGAAAATCTGCTGGATTAGGGAGGGTGCTGGATTAACAAATCTGATTTACTGCTGCAATGTGCATGAAGAGGACATTTTGGCTACTGAAAATTGTGCTGGTTTATCGAGGGTGCTGGATTATAAAGTGCCGGATTAGAGAGGGACGACTGTAGTATGACTGTGATACTATAGCCTTGTGGATGGGAATTTTGTGGCCAAACAAATAGCAAACACCTGCCTTCGATCCCCTATCCGAATTTTTCTTCTTGTTGCTGACAGGCGTGACTACTATCGCATCATGGATGACAAAGCATTGGTACCGGTACGCTGGATGGCACCGGAGTCTCTACAGGACAAGCTGTTCACAGGAAAGTCGGATGTCTGGTGAGTCTTGGGAGTGGCTTCTTTTCTTGACAGACTCACACGGAACACTTGTTAAGGGTATAATTATAGTGTCATTCTTACATGATGCATGCCACTGAATCTTTTACCTTCTGAAGAAGTCCCATATCTTCATTGCATTCAATTTCGTTCCCTTGTGTGTGTGTGTGTGTGTGTGTGTGTGTGTGTGTGTGTGTGTGTGTGTGTGTGTGTGTGTGTGTGTGCGTGTGTGTGTGCGTGTGTGTGTGTGCGCGTGTGTGTACGTGTATGTGCATGCGTGTATATATGTGCATGCGTGTGTGGGTGTGTATGTGCATGCGTGTGGATGTGCATGTGTTCTGCAGGGCGTTTGGTATACTGCTGTGGGAGATATTCACCTACGGGCAGACGCCGTACGGTGAACACACCAGTGTGTTTGACGTCTACAAGTTTGTGACAATGGGTGGCGTCCTGGATCAGCCGCAGTTCTGTCCAACAGCAATGTAAGCACAGCTCACTTGGTCATATTCTGTCTGATGAGTGTTTCACACGAAATTCGGAGTAACTGGGGAAAAAGATTCATGCTTTCATGCACATTTGCTTCATTGCTGTGTGATCATTGTATTACTGGCTCTGTCCACTGGACGTAGAGCACTATACACAGCCTGAGGACCTTAGACAACTCGTGTCTAAGCTACAGCTCATGTAGATCTGCAAGATATTGATTATAGGAACGATGGTGCAATGGAGGAGGAGGGAGAGCCACTGTACTGTCGGGCCCCTGAAAAACGGAGTGCGGAAGACCTGATAGCCTTGAATTTCACCAAGCACAGCATACCAATCTATACACGGTGACTCGACTGAGCATAGACTGCGGTGCATAAAAATACGAACGGTCTAGGCTGTGAGGCTGACCCAGTTCTTCGACGACCGGCAATGCTGTACATCATAAGATTGTTACCAGCGTTAACTTACAGATGATGTTTGCGAGTTTGCCTCTGTGATATACCTTGATCTTGTGTATGGTGATTTCGTGTATTGTGCACATTGCACAACTGTGTGTATGTGTGTGTTTTTTACTTGGTTCCACGAGCCATCAAAGGCAGCGCAGCAGGCCAAAGTGCTGACTTGGCCTTGGTTTGATTGTTGTTGCATTTCCTGTGCAGGTACAAGCTTATGAAGCAGACCTGGGGACGGCTGGCCAGGGATCGGCCGACGTTCCGGCAGCTGCACGACCACCTGTCCACGTTTCAGAAGAGCCTGAACCGGCGGAAAACCCTACTGACGACGTTGGCGTCGTTCGCTAGCGTCAGTGGCATCACCGATGTGGAACGGTCTCAGCTGCCGCACATCCCGTCGTCGCAGCGCGTCAAGGTGGCACCGCGCGCCAGCTCGGCGGAGGGCAGCGTCTTCGACAACGACAGCGATCTGAGCGACAGCTGCTTCGACTACTCGCCGTACGCGTCCGACTTTGACAACGCGTTTGAGACGCCGACGGACTCGCCCACAGCCTCTCGCCGACTGACTCCGTCCGCTCACAGACCGAGTCCGCTACTCAACGGTGGTAATACACTGGTTCCGCCGTCGCGTGGAGCAAGTCACTACCAGCAACAACGTCGGCGGCGGAAATCACGCTCTCACTCGGCGAGCCGTGAGGACGTGACGGGAAAGGGCGCTGGCTCTCCGGCTGTGAAGTCCATGGGGCTGGTTCCTGTGAAGGCTAACGGCACGGCAGCATCAAGACGAGGTTACGGATATGTTGCACAGCGTGATATGGCAAACGCTTCGGCTGCCACCCAGGAACAGCCTGACGGACCGGCAATTCTCGTCACGGAGTGCACCCCGCGGAAGCCGCTGTCACCGATTGTCAGTGCAAGCTCGGCACCGGGGGACGAACCCAGCACTGACAGCACCGCATTCACCGACGTCGACCGACCCCAACTTGAGCGCATTCCATCCGCAGAGTGTGTCGTGCTGCCAACGCGGGCTTCCCTGAGCGAAGGAAATGTTTTCGACGACGAAAGCGAGCTCAGTGATAGCTGCTTCGACTATTCGCCGCAAACCTCTGACGTGGACAATGCGTTTGAGTCAGCGGCAGATTCCCCAACTGCAGCTCGTCGTTCGGCACCTGCCGAATACAAACCGAGTCCTCTGCTCAACAGGAATAACAATCTAGTGCCCAACGGGGTGCAACATCAGAATCGCCGACAACGACGACGTTCCAGCTCAAACTCTGCTAGCCGTGAGGGTGCCGTGAGTAACGGCAATGGCCCTCTGCCCGTCAAGTCCATGAGATCGTTTCCTTTGAAGGCGAACAGTTCGGGCTCGTCGGGACGAGGCTACGGTTACGTCAGCAAGGCCTCGTTCGCGAACGGGTATGCACCGCAGGGCAGCGTGGCGCAGGATTTGTCTGCTGCACGGCGAGAACACAGCGGTCCGCCGATGCTCGTGAGCGAGTACTCGGCGCGCAAGCCACTGTCACCGATTGTCAGCGCCAGCTCTGTGCCGGATGAGTCATGCACTGGTGTGCCCGCTGTGGGTAGGAGAACAAGTCGGGCCGATTCCAGTGGCAGCTGTGTGAGATCCATCTGCACGGAAACTAGCTTGTAGCCGCGTCCGTCTCCGTATCTATACACGTGACTACGGTGGCACAAGATGGCTGCTGCCTAGGCGGCTGCAATGCCCTGCATGGTGAATAGCAGCAGCGTGTGACTTCCCTGTCGAGATCCAGTCTGACCTCGTCCGGCCTGTATAAACGGTACCTGTGTATGCTGTGTTGTTGGTTGTAATCTGATAGGAGCTGAGTGTGACTTCCACGTCAACAAGGGATCGTGTGTGACCTCGTACAGCCTGTATATATATATATATATATATATATATACTGCACAACAGTACCTAGATGTCACCCTGTGTTGTTGGCCGTAATCGAATGAAAGCTGTGTATGACTACCCTGGTCGAGATCCAGTCTGACGTTGTCTAGCTTGTACAATATGCTGTAGTACGGCAGTACGTACGTGTGCTGTGTTGTTGCCTGTAATCTCTGTAATCTCTGTAATCTCTGTACATAAAGACTGTGTGCTGTGTTGTTGCCTGTAATCTCTGTACATAAAGACTTCACGTAAAATGTAAAACACTGTCTCTGCACTTACACTGCCGGATATCCGGTAGGTGGAGACCATTTTCTTTTGTAACTAAAACCCAGCTCTGCTTTCTATACGCCGCATGTAGAGTTCCTGTAATTTCAGCCTGCCTTATTTTGAGATGATAGCGAGGACAATTCCCTTGATGCCGCCGCCGGACCAATTCTTTGAAAACTTGAAATCACGATCACTAAACACACGGATACAGCATCATGTCATCAATACCATCACCTGATACTTTTTTTGTTTTGTTTAAACCCATCATAAAAATACAGTACATGTAACAGGTCTAAGGACTAACACACAACAAGCAATTCCAAGTTTAAGGTTACTACAGTATTTCGTCAAATGTAGCTGTGTCGCTCTGATAACTTTCGCATTTCCACTGTCATCCGACCTCAATTTCATGTACTAATACTAATTAATTCGCTCTTCCATATTTCGTGGCATGCACCGATGTGTTGTTCTACACAACTGACTTCAACTCTTCTTTCTCTCTTTTGTTAGACACCCTCGGCTGGGTGGAACTCAATGTTGATCATTGAACACATCTGGATGAGCCGTGATAAAAAATCGTTTTTGATGTTCAGTGAATAGTGCACGGGATGTAAAATTCCCTTCCGTGCCGGTGGCTATAAAATAACGGCTATTTATGCGGCACAGGGGCGGATATCTTTAGAAGTCACCGCTATCATTGCATACGTACAGGGTACTATAAGTATATCCTTTTGGTTGGCGATATTGGCAGAAATACCGGCAAAATGTGGTACTTTTCTGGTCACTTGATGTGCCATGCATCATGCATGCTTCTTATAATTATGGATCAAGAAGAGGAACTGAATTCGAGCAATTGCCCGCCGTATTGAGCTTTGTATGGTTCTGCCAATTTCACTGCTTTCGAGCAGAATCACTCTTGCAATTTTCCGAGCGTTATCCGTCCAGGGTTGTTGTTGTTGTTGTAGTTGTTGTTACTTTATTTTACTTCAC